TACAAAGCCAAGGACAAGCTTCTTACAAGGACTTAACTGGCAATGACTTAATATGGCATTTTTAGAACTAATTTTAGGTTAATTTTCCCAGAGAGAACAGAAAGAAAGAAAAGAGGCTGTGGAAAGGAATGAGATTACCACAGCCTGTTCAGAAAACTGTGCTCTGTCCAGGAGGTTACAGTGATCTATCTACTTTGGAGCATCTCTTCAGACAGCTCCATTTCTTGCTTTTGGGGAAGGAGTGTCAACAGCTATCATCACTCTGAGTTCAAATTTATTGACCTTTTGTTTCTTTTACATCTAGGTTATTTTTTTTTTTTTTGGCCAATGGTTTGTAGAATTGAAAGTCAAGGAATAATACTTATTTTCTAGGAGCTAAACACTGCTCTAATTGTAACCTGTAGTATATATATCCTCATTTTTACACGTGAGGAAACTAAGGCATGGAGGTATTAACTACCTTGCTCTTAGTCACACAACTGGAGGTGCTGGAAGCAGTATTATGAAGCATTGGTAATCACTATGTTAACTGACAAAATGGGCATATATTACTAACAGCTCTTAGCTTGTGTCTCCCCAACACCAGATGAAATTTGCATATTAAGTCTAAGTCAAATGCCTTTGCAATGCAAACTCAGCTTCAAAAACATACAACTTCTAGGCAAATCACTGCTCTAAAGCTCTTCTGTGTAGAAATATTAGAACCTACCCCCACCACTCACATTAGCATCCTAGCCTGACCTATGTTTACTATCTTTGGATGTCTGAATCCAGAAAGTATTGTACTTGTGTCTGCTTTTACATTTAAGAAAGTGAATTATAATTTCATGCTTTTATATCTGTCTTCCTGTAGAGTTGAAACTACCATGTTACACTCTAACAAAACAGCACTCAGTCTGGTTTGCAATATGAGTGCACAATAATTGTTTAAGAACTTTTCTTCTATTCTAATAGCAAAATAATGCCTATTCTATGTTTTATCTTAAATATCTGTTGTTTACTTGATTATCTCTGAAGAGATATACTCTAACCAAATAAGCCATTGTTTCTAATCTGTGAGGAAATGTGAACAGGTTTGTTTTTAACTGCCACAAATACAAAAGCCAAACTAAAAAAATATGCAGGCTAAAACTGCAAGGCAATAGCACTAGCTCAACCTTGGCCCCCCACAATTTTTCCCTTTATCTTCCTGAAGTGGTTGCAGCCTGTAATTTTAATGTTTCTTCTGAGAGTGACTCCCTCTGCTGCTCCTGCAAAGCCATGACCCAAATCAGAAAAGTGCTAAATGCAGTTAAGGCCTAATAGAGCACCCTTGCTGTTTGTACTAATTGGAGAACCTAGCATACATTAGAGAACAGTTACGTTAAATCTCAATAATAATTCTAAATGAGCTACCAGGGTTTACTTAGTAGAACTCATGCCTTGTTTGTGCCCTTGGGGGGTTGCTTAAAATAGATCAGGAAGAATTCTGATGAGGATAACCAACTCCCAAACTACAATAGGAGGCCTTCAAGGACCCTGTTTTATTTAACTCTTTACCCTCAGTATCCAAAACACAGCAGTCCAGGGAGTCAATAAACCTGTTATAATCTAATGAGTCCTCATTCTTTTCAAGTGCTTGAAAAGTTTATTCTTAGAAGCTTTTAAGTATTCTCTAAGCTAGAATATGCAAAACCATTTTTCTAAACAGAAGTAAACTAGCCTACTTTTCCTTATTGCATATTCCCAATGTGAATTCATAAATTTTCTGATCCTCATACAATGAAAAATATATGATAGAATTTAATGAAGTTTAGTTGCCTTCAATGTTGATGGTCTATTTTTAGCACATCAATATGCAAACATGCATGAAAGTAATTTTTACTCTTTTGTAAGAAGATATTAAAAAAAACAACACTATGAATTAAGATAATAGAGAATTATTCCAATCTGATTAGAGACTTCAGTAATATTTTGTACTGAGTTTGGTGGTGTTAACACTCGTAACACTAGTTGGTGCTAGATAAGCAGCATATCAATGCTATGTAGCCCAGATAAAATGCATTTATAAACCAGGAGAGTCCTAATTCAGAAGCACATTGAAAACACACACACACACACACACACACACACACACACACACTGCCTTTTACTAGTAAAATCTTTGATTGTTGGAAGTCAGAAACACTGCAAATTCCCTGGAGCTAGGAGTTCCCAGCAATCCTGAATGAAACAATTAGGGCATGGCCAGAAAGGAGAAAGTTGTTGCCTAAAGCCTAGAGAATTTCCCAAGGACCTATTTAAAATAACTGCTGTCTAAACCACAGTTACAAAACTCAGTACACTCACCAATAATGCCTATTCTATGTTTTATCTTAAGTATCTGTTGTTTCCTTGATTATCTCTAAAGATACACACATACTTCTTATTCTGAAGTACTTCAGCAACAGAATAAAAACCTCATCCACATTGTAAAGTGCTTAACTTTCCCATGTTAATTGCACATGGACTTTTCATGCGTAAGAAATAGCTCATTTCCATCTTTAAGTCGTCACCACAAGGAAATCATACCTTGAGGTTATGGGCTAGTGTCCTAGTCCAAGGAAAAGAGAAAGAAGAAAATTAAGAAGGATAAGGAAGTCTGACCAACAGACCATTTATAAAATGTGTGATTCTGTGAGGAAAGTGTTAATAGTGGCTCAAGATAAACAGGCTGGGGTAATGTACTGCAGTGATGATGATAGTAGCCGATAGTGGAGTTTGGTGCTTTATCCTTCCTTTGATACCTAACAGACAACACAGAAAGAGCTGGTATGCCTGGAACATGGAGGGTAACAAAGATAAAAGTGGTAGAATAGTGCATTTTACAGACCATAAAATTCAAACAAAAAATTTACTAATCAAGAACTGAAGGGACTAAATAAACGAAATGGGCAAGAACTGCACTGAAATGCACACACCCAACATAGTACATTTTCTTTTTCCACTTAAGATTAGAATCAGTCTTCAACTTGCCTACTCTATAAAAAGTACAAGAGAAAGACAGTCTATCCTAAGGATCTTTTCCTTTTAATCTCTTCTCCCTTCTTCTTTCAATATTAATCCATTTACAATCTCCTGTTTGATTATCTTTATTGATCCTTTTTCTACCCAGTCTTTTAAATGTGGTTATTGTAAGCTCTCAGCAGGAATCCTATCTCCGTTTGGTATCATTGGGGACTTTAACTTGTCCTTTTCCCAAAAAGTTCTCTCACCGTGTCCCGTCCCCCTCTCCCACCACCCACCCCCACGGTGCAGTCCTTTGTGTGCCCAGTAACAGCAGGCAAATTCCACAGGGAGTCACGCAGTCGATTCCACGACTATTCATCAGGTTGTTCACTTAAGCTTCCAAACAAACCCCTCTAAGCATCCTTGGCTAGCGTCCTGAGAAATTCTTATCAATTTTAGGAGATCTACAAGTTATCATTCTCGGTGGCGATTCCTTTTTAAATGGACAGACAGATGAAATCTGGAGGTGTGCATAAGAAAACCAGAGCAGAACCTTGGGGATGGGAGGCATCTGGCGAGAAGGGAAGGAAGGATTTATGAGCATGGCCACTTAGCAGGGCAGCAGGAAAATTTACTTCCGAAGAAGCTGTCTCTAATTCACAATGCCTTGCTAATCACTTACCTCCCCACCTAGACCACAATCGCCTATGCTAGGCGCTCCCCTTCACTTCCAACACCCTCATCCCCAGCGCCTGTCTAAGATTCGAGGGAATGCTGTCCAGAAACCCTGAACATCACCTGGGGAGTTGGAGCTACCGCAGAGCCTCCCATTACTCTCCAAATTTGGAAGAAAGAGTAACGGAGACTGGGGAGAGAATCCCTGAATTGCCTCGGAAAGCTTCATAAGCTTCCTAAAGCTTCTCCTCTTCCAGGAAAAGCTGAGCTGCCTCGCCTGAGTCAGCTATCACCACTGAGCTGGGTGAAGAGACCCAGGTAGGAGCTGGGCTTGGCCAGAAGTTTTGGGGCCCAGGTGACCCGAGACAGACCCGGGAGGGGGCAGCCTTGGTTCTTTCTTCTCCGCTCGGTTCCAGTCAGCTTCTTGGGCTTGGAAGGCTGGGAGCTGCTGCTACTACTTCAAACTAGGGGGACAACAAGGGAGCCAGGAGATTAGCTCCGGAGCCTCTCCTCCTTCTTTACCCATCGCCAACTCCCGGCCACACTCTTCCCATCCCGGCTTCGCCCAAGGCCCCGGTCACTTACGTTAAAGCTCACAGGCGTTAAATTAAAACATCAGAGTTATAAACTAGTCTGTTAAGCTGGGGAGTTTCGGATTTGGCTTCAACAACCAGCTGGGTCCCCCAGAGCTCTGGGATTTTCTTTTCTACGTCCCCTGGTGGGAGGCAGACATGAAGGGGGGTATGTATGAGTGCAGAGGCATGCACACCCCGGGCCTGCCTCCGGCCGGGTACGCAGATTCTGGTGGGCTGTGTATTATCTACAGCCCCTCAAGCAGAAGGCGAGGGGAACAGGCGCTTTAGAGTCCTTGGCAGTAATGGTCACATTTCCTTACAGAGAGCCCTTCCGGGTCTGGTGTGCACAGAGACTCAGCGAAGATCCTGCAACCCCAACCGTGGCACCTCGCACTTCATGCGCTTCGGGGTGCACTGTGGCATGTCACACAGCGACCCGCACTGAGAGTCTCTCCAAACCTGTGTGTACAATATGCAACAACGTGCGCGTGCGGAGCTGAAAGGGCACAAGACACCCCAGCTCCCAAATGTATGGAGACGGATCAGACGCGTGTACACACCCCGTTAGTCCCTGATCCATCCGTGCCCATCTCGGAAGATAGATTAAACATAAATGATAATAATAATAGCTTCTTGACTAGTTGGGAAAGTGGAATTTAGGGTGGTTTCCAGTTGAGAGCAATGAGGCAAATTGAGGAAGTCAGGAGAATTGGGGAGGAGGAGAGGAATGAGGGAAGGAAGAAGCGAAGGGAGGTGGCCGCGGAGCCTGGCAGACCCCCTTACCTTGGGCGGCGGAGCCAGTGCCACTGGCGCTGAGCAGGGCCAGGGCAGGTAGCACGAGCATTTGTAGCACGTATCCCAGTCCCAGTCCGCAGCGGGCCGCTGTCGCCCGCAGACCTTTCCTCATCGTAGATAGAGGTGTGCCGGGGGAGGGGGGGAACAGAGAGACGCGCAAACAGCGGAAAGCCCCACTGGGCAGCAGCTGAATCCGTGCACCGAGAAGCAGTCCGAAGAAATAACGACAACCAAGCGCCACACTCCACTTTCTCCAAGGGCAGGGGCCAAAGGGGGAGGAGAGGAGACGCCGAGGAGGAGTTTGAAGGTCCCTCTTCCCCAATGCCTTCTAACTGACGTCTCCCGAGAGCGACTTCTCTGCCCCCACTTGGGAAGTCCAGGGAGGCGCTAGGCGGCCACCTCCGCTGCTCCCCCCAGCAGTAGGAGCAGCCGCAGCTCCGCCGCGCTCCGAGTCTGAACTGCTCTCCGGGTCTCCTCGCCTGTGAGGAACACACACAGGCACTGGGGGTGGGGGTGGGGGTTGAAGCGGGGGTGGGGGGGAGTGGGAGGAGGAGGGAACGGAGGGAGAAAGCTTGTGCACCGCCTGGCGCTCTGGTCTCCAGTCTCAGTGTTCTCACGCCGGCAGAGAGATGCCCGGGCTGTCGCTGCTGGATGGCCAAGGAGGGTCACACCATAGAGTAGGGCTCACGGGTACGCAAAGGAGCTCGCCAAGGAGGCGTAGAGCGCGCAGCCTAACTCCGCTGGGGAGTAACCGGCTGTGGAGCACGCCCGCCTGCCTTATGTAAGCAAGGATTGGAGGGAGATCAGCGCCCAGGGCGGAAGGCGGAGACCGGCTGTGGGTTTGCCCGCTGAAGTCCAGGCGAGAGAGACCAGGGAAAGAAGCGGCGGCAGAGTGGCAGCGCGCCTGCCTCCCGCGGCGCGCCAGACCAGGACGCTGGGAGTGCACAACGCGCGCCTCGGGCCAGTTGGCTGTGTCCAGTGGAGCTCAGCCTGTCGCCTGCCACCTTCCTCACCGTGCCGGCAAAGCCTGAGCCGGATTCCCTCGGACTGGACTCGCTCTACTTTGCGGTTGATGAAGCCGGGTGCGGGCTCGAACTGAAGTCTTGCTTGGTTGCGGAAGAAGGCAAGAAGCTTCTGCAGTGCCCCAGCCCGGTGCTGTCTTGAGGTTGTCAACGCTAGTCAGACTACTTTATGTTCTGAGCGCATGTGACTCCTTTGCAGTGGAACAGAAACTAAAAGCTCGATGAAAACTCATTCTGCAACAGTGCTTTCTTTGCGTGCATCTTGGTGGCTGGCAAGGGTGGTGAGGCAATACTGGGAGAAACACTCTTAGAAAAAAAAAATGCACACCAAAATTCGTAGATAGGCAAAGTGATAGTGGAGCCTATATATTTTTCAAATTTCTAGTAATGTGTGTAAGAACTCGAGCTGCTATGAATTTCTTTACCTTCCAACAGGAAATAATTGTCTATGTAACTGGATTGTGAAGCACTGTTGTCATGATAAAGGAGGAATGCAAGATTCGGTGGGTAAAAGAAAAAAAGACTAGGCAAAAAAGAAAGTGAATTTATTAAAAAGTCAACACATAGCGTTTTGGGAAGAAGAAAACCACTTCCCAAGATTAGTATATCTTTAAACTAACAAATAATACATCAGGGAATTTTATGTCCTTGGTGCCAAGGGGGCCATGTGTAAAGACACATGCACACACACATGCAGGAAACTTGCAGTCTAATTTTGGCTGTGGTCATAACTACTCTATTACCCTGGGTAAGTCAGGTAACCTGTGAATGTCTGAGTTTCTTCATTTGTGAAATATTTTATTTGAGAGGTACAAAGTTCTCTTAAGTTCTAGCATTCCATGATTCTGCCTGCACAGCCCCATTTAGGCAATAAACTTATCTTGGATGAATCAGAGAGATCCAAAAAGGTGATATTTGCCAAAGACATTGACAAAACTGGCCACTTCTTATTTCTATGGAGGCTCTTTCTGCCACACAAAACTCTTCTTCACTCTTTTCATCTTCTTCATACCAAGACATCATGATATTTGATAAAAGGGTAGGTGCTGGCACCAGACTGTCTGCTTTCAGTTCTTAGCATTTCTTATTACTTGACCGATATTGAATTTTAAAGGTAGGTGTGTCTCTTCCCTAATTTGTAAGATGGGTCTAGTAGCAGGAAGTATCTCATAGGGGTTTTTGAGGATTATGTAAGTTAAACTCATGTAAAATGCCTGACACCAAAATTGTTAACCACTGTTCTTACCATTGATGAAAAATTCCCATTAGCCTTATGCTATCTAGACCAGTGCTGTTCAACAGAAATTGCTGCAATGAAGAACATCTTCATATCTGTGCTTTCTGAGGTGGTAGTTATCAGATACATGTGGCTATGTGCAATGTGGCTAGTGTGAGTTGGAAACTTTTATTTAATTTTAATTTAAATGGTCACATGTGGCCGGTGGCTACCATATTCTATGGTGTAGTGAGGCCACTAATAACTGGTCAATTACTTTGAGAATGACTTCATGAGAAGGGATTATTATTACATTTATATGTACAATTTTACTAAGAGGGCAACAGCTTAAATACTAAGAAATCTCCACATATACTCACCATCACATCAACAACATACAAAAGTTGTTTATTTATGATTTTATTGCTTGTCTTCTGAAATTATAATTTAACTGTTTTAAGACAGAGATTTTGCCTTTGTCCATGGCTCCTAAACTGAGCCTGATGTATGGTTGGTACTCAATCAATATTGATTGATTTCCTGCCAAAAAACTCAATAGAAAGAGTCCTCAAAGTCTAGCACAGCTAAAGAAGGTTGAAATTGTCATCTACTCCTGTTTGGGGCATTGAGTTACTCAGTGAGAGATACCACATGCAATTAGTTGCTTAAAAGAAGGAATAAGAGATTAAAAGAGGAAATGTAGTTAAATACTGAAATTCAGCCTAAAGAGGTCAGGAGAATGGTTTGAGAAGTGGTATAGAGAGATGAGGTGGAAAGGGAGAGGCGAGTGACAGCATGAGACCAAGGAGAGGAAAAACACCAGCAACAAATCAGCTTTACACAGCAGGCAAGTTTCCTGCTATCTACAAGTACAGATGGAATTTGCCTTGTGGATTAACATCCTGCCTACTTTTGTTGATCAGCACATTTTTTTTTTTCTCATGAGAGAAATAATGCAGTGTTTTATAGGCTCCTGAACATAGGCTTACTAATGTCACTGAGATCCGGGTTCAAATGACACTACTTAGGGAGGTTTTCATTGACCAAGTTACCTAAAATAGCAACAATATATAAACCTAAATGGTATTTACCTGCTTTGATTTTCCATATAACACCTACTTCATACAAGTACACATATGTGTGCATAAATATGTATATATATGTATGTATACTGTCCAATAAAATGTCTGCTTCTCAAGGGGAGGAATTTTTTTTGAATACATTCAGTACTCTATACCCAGAACCTGGAACAATACCTGGTACATAATAAGTGAACAATAAATACTTATTGAATATTGAATGGACTGAATAAGAGCCAATGGATTTAAAATTGAGCTAAGTCCTTCATTAAACTTTCTTCCTCTTTTCACCCTCCCAAGTTATCAAATTGAGTAGGTTTTTCTAGTTGTTGAATAAAATCAAGGTTTGACAAAATTTCCCCCAAAATGTGTTGGAATATGAATTTTTAGGGTTGGAATACTGCAGGTGTTTAAGGGACAGACGTGAAATTCATCTCATCTTGAAAAATGAAAAGCATCATTTAAATCCATATACAAGGGCTTTCTTTTTCTTGGCTGCAGTAAGTGGAGAATTAACTCTGGGATAATAAATCCCAGTGACAGGTGCTAATGGGAATTAAGCATGCAAATCCCCTGCATATCCCTCCAGAAATCTACACCAAGAAAAGTATGCTATTTAGCATGTAGGCAGCTTGGTCATAATATCATTTACTCAGAACTAGTATGGAAAAGTTTCCAGTTTAAAGCTTAAATCAAAAACAACTGATCATATATTTTAATTATGGAAAGTTTCTTTTATCTTTCTCCTTATATGTTTGATTCCTCACTTTCTATATTTTTCTTGTAATTTTAAAAATAAATCTTCATACTAGGGATATTATTAACTGGATTAACTGGAAACATAGGAGAAAGATGATTTTAGTGAATAAATATGATGGTGATGAGGAAAATTCCTTCCCTAAGAGGTGGGAGTGCAGAGGCCTCACATAATGTTACTGATAGACGTAAACTAAGGAGAGCCAGATGGTCTAGATCCAGTTGATTCAATCCTCCTTCCCTGCCTTAGCCCAGAGAAAGAGATTTAACTTGTCATAAACCAAAACTCTCTAGGGCTTTAGGCTTTTTATTAATTGTATTAGTTAAGACCCATTTGGTTGCAAGTGAAAGAAACCCAACTCAAAACAGCTTAAGCAAAAAGATAATTTATCACTGTACATAACTCAAAAACCATGGATGAGAAGTATCTGTATTAATAATGGATTCCATTTACTGTCCCTTACTGTGTGTCAGGGACTTTCTAAGCTCTTTACATGTGCTATCTCATTTAATCATCATAACTGAAAGAAAGTGCCATTATTGTATCCATTTCAAAAATGAGGAAACAGAGTGCTTAAGTAACTTTGCCCAAGATGACACACAGTTAGTATTTACTAGTGACAGTCTGATTTGAGGGATCATATCCTAGACCATTGAATTTAAATATCACCTGGTTATGCTCTCCTCTGTTTTGGTTTCATTCACAGACTTACGATCTCCATCCTGGGATTCCTGGCAGCTCCAGGTTTACATTGTCTTTATCATTATCAATCTCAACACAAAGCATACTCATTTGCAAATGGCAAAGAATAAATACAGAATTATGGCCATAATTGTATGTGGCCATCTTGGGCCATATACTCATAACTGAGGCAATTACCATGGCCAGATGTTTGGCATATGCTGAATGGCAAGGCCTGGGTCGTATGCCAATATTTGCCAACTGGAAACTTGGATTGAAAATGGGAATAAAGGGTTCCCCAAAAGGATACACTGGAAAATGATTAATACAAAAAATAGATGCCAAAGAGAATGGATATAGGACAGACAAAATAACAGATCCCTAATCTTTGATATATGAGGCAGGATGAGTTCTCCAGGATTTTGTGCCATAACACATCACTGTAACAAAAGATGAGCATTGGTTAAGAAGGGCTGAAGAGCCGCCAGCCCCTTGTAGATTGCTTTTCCCATTAACTGACTGGAAGAATTGAGTCCAATTTGTTTCAATTCAGAAAACTTTCACTTCCCTCTATTATATTGTGGTTCCACTCTAGAGAGTGGATATATTTTCTCTATAGAGAAAAAAATATATATGTGAGATAGAGTCCTTATGCAGCAATGGCTCACAGTCTAATGGAATATAAATGAATAAACAAAAGGATTTTAAATAAAGTCAAAAATGTTGCGGAAATATAAGGATATAAGAAATTTTTAACTATGAGACCCTGGGAAGAAGATTACCTAAATGTAAGACACATACTTGTGTATCAGCAATACTACGCTTCACACAATGGACATATTTATTGCTAACGACAAGGAACTGAAGAGTATGCAGTATATGGCCAATATAGACTCCCAGTTATGCTCTTTTCATGGCTTGGCTCCATGCTCCAGAATGCACAGCTTTCATTCTCACAGCTGCTTGGTAGCTTTTCCACTTCTAGAAGTCCTGTTTCATTTTTCAGGCAGAAGAAGATGGAACAGGCCTGAAGGGCTGCAGCTAGCCTAGATGTCTTCCAAATAACTTTCTGGAAGCCCTCAGTCCACCAAGTAGTTTCTATTTCCTTGATGGTCTGTCCAATGACCCCCTAAGACCAATCGCGAGTGGTGGGTAAGGAGAAGGGTGTTGTGCTTGTTTGCCAGATCATCTGCGTTAGACACAACCTTGTTGGAGAGGAGGAACAAGAGGAAGGCACAAAAAAAAAAAAGACATTAAGACAGGACATTTGAGGGTATATTTGGAGAACTATAGGTAAATGAAAAATAGTTCTATTGTTGGCTGAGAAAATAAAAGGAGAAAAGGAAGGAAAGTATTTTCTTCTTCTTCTTCTTCTTTTTTTTTTTTTTTTTAGAGATAGAGTCTTGCTATGTTGCCAAGGCTGAAGCACTGACTACTCACAAGTGCAATTATAGGGCATGACAGCCTTGAACTCTTGGCCTCAAGTGATCCTCCTGCCTCAGCCTCTGAAGTCTCCAGAATAGGGGAGGGGTGAGTGTGTTTTCTATCACACTGGGAAATAGGAAGATAGAAAGGACTCCATTATTCAGTTCACTAAACTGTATTTACTGAACATTTGGAAAATATGTATCATTGAGGTAGAGTTTCCTGGAATGTATAATTGGATTGTATAAATAATATTTATAAAAATGAAAGCAAAAGTTAAGGAAAGATAACAGGAAAGATGGAGAAAAAAGAAAGCAAAGGGAGAAAAGGAAGAAAGAATGCAGGAGATGAAGGAAGAATAGGAAGGAAGAAAAACAAAAAGAAGAAATAAAGAAAGATAAATAAAATCCAGTGTGATTTCTGCACTGGTGTAGCATGTTGTAACTGCTATATGAGGGAGAAAACAATGAAAGGGTCAATAAAAACTAAGAGGAAAATAACAGAATATCTAATTTAGAAGAGTATTACTGGAGATAGAGGTCATAATTACTGCTTACCACAGCTTTTCTAATATCTCATTTTATTTTAAATTTATCTGCCAAGTTAGGCCATAGTTGTTTTCCTCATTTTACAGATGGAAGAAATAAAGTACATGGTGGGAAGACTCTGGATCAGGAAACATGAATTCAAGTCCCCATTTATCTAAAGGTATTTGCTCAGAAATCCCTGTAAGTTCTTTGCACTTTGGTGTATTTGTTATGAGAAGCGGAAACAATATGAACGCACAAAGTTGCTGTGAATATAAAAGGTGTGTGAAAGTGCTTTGAGAAATGTCTATACTGAAGATGTTATCATGGTAAGATATGTTCTACATTGTCTATTGTACTTAATTTACATAATCACCTGAAGAATAGGATTAGTGATGTGGCTTTCTATCCATGAATGATACCACCCTAGTATAACCTTCGGTGCTATTCTCAGTACCTCCCTCCTTTGCCCACATCACCTATTCAATTACTGTTTCATAATCCATCCAATTTTACTACATAAAGGGCTATAGGATCTATCCCATTATCACCAGCCCTACAGCCTCACAATATATTTGTTACTGAGAGGTCTCGTAATTATTTGCCCTTACCTTCTAATCCATGCTCTCTACACCCCCCCCAAGAATTACCTTCTAAAATGTAAAGCCTGTCATTTTCATGTCCTAAAACCTTATTCAATGATTCCTCACTGCTTCAGAACTGCTTTTCCAAAGATCATTACAGGGAACACCTCTCCTTAAAAAGCAGTTCCACAATGAACAGAGGATAATAGGTTGTACTATTCTTTATGCTTTACTCCTTCCCAGTTAATAGATTATGCAATTATTTCCTTTGCACTTTGCCTGGCAGGACCACCTACTGCAGTGTGGGTCAGATAGGCTTCCTGTTTGATGTTGGCTTTGCCATGAGACTTGCTTTGGACAATGATCTTGGGGAGATGCTACGGTGTGCCAGTTGCTCCCATTGCATATATCTACTCATTTTCATGTGTTGTCATCATTAGTCATAAGACATTAGACATTTTCTAGGTAACCACCAAACTAAGGTGAATAAGAGACACATGGAGAGATGGGCAGCCTGGAGCCTTGTGCCACTGTCTGGAGCCCAGTACCTGAGTTGCATCAGAGCCAATGACCAATGAGCAAGGAAAAAAAAAAACATACTTGTGTTTAGCAACCGAGTTCAGGGTTAATTTTTCATGCAGCACTGTTGCAGCAAGAGGTATCTAATGTGCCAGTGTGAGAAATAATGTCCTCAGATTAAGCTCAAGATAAATCAAATGACAATTTCCCTGATAGTACTACTAAGCTGGTAGAAAATAAGACAGACTAGAGAACAAAACAGGCTGACTCTGAAAGTGCAGTGAGAGAGATATGGAAACATCACTATGGGACATGAGAAGACAGGACACTTACTTCACATTGAAGAATCAATGAAATCTTAAATGAAAGCACATTAGACCCAGGCCTTGAAGGATAAATGGAATTTGTTTTTGCTGAATTGGGGAGAAGGGTATTTCCGGTTGAAGAAAGAATGGGAGCCAAGGTGAGCAAAAGGAGTACAGGAACAGCAAATACTGAGTGGCTTAGTTTGAAGCCCAGAAAGCGTCATGCTTAATGCTCTTATCATTATCATTATATAAATTATAGTTGTTAACGTTTTTGAACATTCATTAATCATACACCTTGTTTTGTATAAAG